GAATGGTGGATTAGCTCGTGGTGCAGTGGTTAAACCGCTGTACTGCAGCCAAAACTGTGCTCACGACCTGGGGTTCAATCCCAGGTAGCGGCTCAAGGTTGACTCAGCCTTCTATCCTTCCGAGGTCAGTAAAATGAGTACCCAGCTTGCTAGGGGGGGGGGCAATGTGTAGCCTCCATAATTAACTTGTAAACCGCCCAGAGAGTGCTTGAAGCACTATGGGGTGGTATATAAGCAGCACGCTTTAGATTATAGGTGTATAGTAGAAGTCAGAATAGAGATAGCGTAGAGCTGCTTCCTTAACATGCAAGGCTCTGAGAATGTACATTGTCCAGTGCTATGTCTGCTCAGTTTTGTAATGTGACAGGTGATGTGGGACTTTAATACAGGCAAAGATAAATAATTTAAATGTAAATTGATTGCAAAATGTAAAAAATGTCTTGAATCAAAAAGATGAACAATGAAGAAATACTAAAATGAATATATAAATATCAAGAACTCATGAGGTACATACATTTCAGTAAGCTAAAATCCTTTGCTCACTTATTGAGAAGCAAAAAGTTAAGATAATTATAGCTGATCATTCCAGGTCAAATAAAGGGGAAAAGAAATGCAAGAAGGAGAGTTTCTTGGCTGAAGAGCTGGAGAGACTGGTTCACGTGCAGTAAAACAATCAACAGCACTGCAATCTGCCAGTTGCGTACATGAATTTTAAAGTGCTGCATCCAAACTCAGAATAGCCACGATGACATCCAGCCTCTCTTGGGAGATGATGCAGAAGTGAAGTAGGGTAATTTTGCAGGTGCTATGATCTCAGTGCAGTGAGTCAACAGCTGTTTTGTTTTCTTTCAAAATGATAAAGAACTGGACATAGTAAATGAATATAGATTCCCAGATTCATAGAAAGAAATCCATTTGCAGAAATTGGATCAGGAACTGCTGGTATAAATTGGATGCTAGGCAGAACTGGTGTTTGCCCATTCTGCATTTCCCTTCAGTGATTGTTCATGAGCAGAGGCCATTTTCATAAAACGACCAGAGCTGAATCAGAATGTACATGATAACATTTTTTTTAAAAGTATAAACCTTACAGTTATGTCAAAAAGAATGTGCACTCTTTTTGATTTATGTGGTTCTATGTATCAGGTCATAATAAAAATAATATGGTCCTTACTAGGTCTGAAAAATTAGGTAAATACAATCTCAAATGAACTATAACAAATGACACATTATGTCATGATTTATTTTACAAAAATAATGCCAAAATGGAGAAGCCATGTGTGAAAAATGAAGTGCACACCTACTGCTTCCCTAGGAATTAAAAGGCTAAGTAACCAAGTGCTGCTAACCAAATGTCCTTGAGTAATTAATTGATAATCAGTCTGCTTCCCTAGGAATTAAAAGGCTAAGTAGCAACCAAGTGCTGTTAACCAAATGTCCTTGAGTAATTAATTGACAATCAGCAAGTGTGCCCACCTGTATAAAAGCCAAAGTTTTAGCAGTTTGCTGGTGTGGATAATTCAAGTGTGTATTAACACAATGCCAAGGAGTAAGCATATCGGCAATTATTGTAGAGAAGCAAATGCTGCTGCCCATCTATCTGGGAAGGGTTATAAGGCCATTTCCAAACAATTTAAAGTTCATCATTCTACAGTGAGGATGATTATTCACAAGTGGAAAACATTCCAGACAGTCTTCCCAGGAGTGGACATCCAATCAAATTCACCCCACGTGCAGTTGCTCAGACTGCAATGCTCAGAGAAATTACAAAAAAAAACCCAAACCTCTAAGAGTTACATCTCAAACTCTACTGGCCGGACATCCAATCAAATTCACCCCACGTGCAATTGCTCAGACTGCAAAGCTCAGAGAAATTACAAAAAAAACACACAAACCTCTAAGAGTTACATCTCAAACGCTACTGGGGCCAGTTAGCATGTTAAATATTAAAGTTCTTGACAGTACAATTAGAAAAAGACTGAACAAGTATGATTTGTTTGAAAAAGTTACCAGGAGAAAGCCTCTTCACTCTAAGAAGAACATGGCAGTATGGCTTAGGTTTGCGAAGTTGCATCTGTACAAACCACAAGACATCTGGAACAATGTCCTTTGGACAGACGAGACCAGAGTTGGACATGTTTGGCCATAAATGCACAGTGCCACATTTGGTGAAAAACCAAACATAGCATAGCAGGTGTCAAGCATGATGGTATATGGGTGATGATTTGAGCTTGTTTTGCAGCCACAGGACCTGAGCACCTTGTAGTCATGGGGTCGGCCATGAATTCCTCTCTACACCAAAATATCCTAGAGTCAAATGTGAGGCCATCTGTCCAACCGCTAAAGCTTGGCTGAAATTGGGTCATGCAACAGGACAATGATCCCGAGCACACCAGCAAATCTACAGTGGAATGGCTTAAAAAGAAAAGAATCAAGATACTGCAATGGCCCAGTCAAAGTCCAAACCCCAACTGATTGATATGCTCTGGCAGAACGTTAAGAGAGAGCTATGCATAAATGTCTGCAAACCTCAATGAACTGAAGCAACGTTGTGAGGAAGAGTGGGCCAAAATTCCTTCACAACAATGTAAGAGACTAGTAAAATCATACAGAAAACAATTATTTCAGTTTATGGCTGCTCGAGGTGGTTCTGCAAGCTACTGAATCAAAAGGTCAGCTTAGTTTTTCACACATGGCTTCTCCATTTTGGCTTTATTTTTGTAAAATAAATCATGACACAGTGTAATATGTCATGAGTTGTTCATCTGAGGTTGTATTTACCTGATTTTCAGACCTACTAAGGACCAGATGTCCTGATAATGTGGAACCATAGATTTCAAAGAGGGTGTGCTTTCTTTTTCATGTGACTGTACATAAATCTCATTGTAAAGAGAGAAGATTTGGAATAGAAGCACAGAGTACAGCAGACAATACTCTGTGTGCTTTAGGAAGCTCCAGCCCACCCTCACAGAATGAGATATTTTTATTCACATAAATATTGTTAAGTGCTAGTCCAGAGTCATCCACACCTACAACAACTCTTTAGGTAGACAATGTAACACACACACAATGCAAGCATTCCAAACCCTACAGAGAAAAAAATATGCCAGGGGATTTCTGTATCGTGCTGACTTTTTTTCTCCTCTTAATTTTCCAGAGAGGCCATGACTTCTATGAAGGTGTCCGAGCAGGTAAAGTAGAAGCCAGAGAGGCTGAGTTGGGGGATTTGCTGTGCTCAGTGTTATACTTGTTATAAGGGATGCGGGTGGCACTGTGAGTTAAATTGCTGAGCCACTTGGTTGTTGATTGAATGGTTGGCAGTTTGAATCTGCGCGACAGGGTGAGCTCCTGTTGCTTGTCTCAGCTCCTGCCAACCTAGCAGTTTGAAAGCATGCAAATGCAAATAGATAAATAGGTACCAGCTTGGTGGGAAGGTAACGGCATTCCGTGTCTAGTCATGCCGGCCAGGTGAGCACAGAAACTGTCTATGGACAAACGCCAGGTCTTTGGCTTATAGATGGGGTTGAGCACCAGCCCCTAGAGATGGACATAACTGGACTTAATTGTCAAGGAAACCTTTACCTTTTTATACTTCTTATATTGTCATTATTAGTAAATAGCCCATCTGGTACTGATTGGTACTACCATCTGTTTCACTTGAAGCAAGAATGCAATGTTTCCTGAACTTAGGAGCCAGATAAACTTAAGAGTTTCCTAAATTTGCAGCAACCGAACTGCTTGTTACAGTGGACCCTCTACTTACGGAATTAATCCGTATTGGAACAGTGGCTGCAGGTCGAAAAGTCTGTAGGTCGAGTCTCCATTGACCTACAATGCATTGAAAACTGATTAATTCCATAACTGGCAGTTTTTATTCGATTTTAGTTCCATTTTGGTTTTTTTCTGGTCTGTAAGTCAATTCTCAGGCTGCAAGTCGAATCTAAATTTTGCGGCCAGAGAAGTCTGTAACTCGAAAAGTCTGTAAGTCGAGCCGTCTGTAAGTCGAGGGTCCACTGTACTTTGGACCATTTCTAAAATGCTGGTAGCTTGGGCACCTGGACAGTTGCAGTGTTGCTTGGTGAATGATTAATATTGCATGGTAAATATTTTGAGATGGACTGAAACCATAATGTGTTCACTAGTTTTTCCTGTTTTCCTTGTATCATTAGATCTAATCGCAGTGCAGAATTTTTATGCACTGTGTTTTTCCTGGATACTGATCTGACGTTTCACTGATGGGCAGATCTATTCCAGATCCTCTAAAACAAACTTGGGAGCACTATGTGATGTCAGTGTTAAAGGATCTGGGATAGACTTCTGTCCTTCATTGACACTAAGGTAGCAATCTCTCTGTCATTACTGCCTCTTTCTAGTAAACTTTCAGGCACATTTCCAAGTGAAAAGCCCAGACTTGCCAAGATGCCAGGGGTGGACAGCTGCTTTCCCCCAACTCTATGCATGGATCACAGGGCAGTGTGAAAAGACTACAAGGAGATCTTCAGATTGAGGGAATAAAGGGATACACAGTTATCAGGGCTTACTCTCAATAACAAAGGAATTATATTTGCTGCTAAATAAATATGATTATCCAAGATATCTCCCTTTTCATAAGAGGCAGATGACACAATCAAGTACTTCTATCATGGTATCACTTTGCAAATGCAGGGCAGATACACATGGGAAGCACTAGCAAGCAGGCAGGAGATGTGAATGCCACTGACTTGGCACAGCTGTTTAGGATCATCAGTCAGATTCCAGTTGTGTTTCTTTTGCAAATGAGATGACAGCTATTTCACTGAACTGCTGGTACACAAAGTCCAGGGATATTGGGATTCCTTCAGAAATGGCTGGTGCAGGCTTGTTACTAGTCACATGCAAAGGAAGATCTAGGGCGATTTTAGTGAGCAGTCTTGGGTCAGAGATTTTTTCTGAGATAACTGTGAAATGTGACTTTCCCATGATCTATCTAAGATAGTAGTGAACTGTTGTTCCAAGAAAAAAATATATATGCAAGAATAAGAATAGGTTACCTCAGGCAGAATTGTTTGCAACCGCCCCCCAAAAAACACATCCTCATTTATCCTGAAAACCCAAGAAGAATGAACTATTTTATTGAATAGTTACTTTTCCTGAAGTTAACAGCAGTTAGTTTTGTTTGTTCTCTGGTTTGTTTACAGTGTCTTTCATGAGCACAGATACCAAGAAATCCTTTCACCGAACATCATGCTATAGGACATCAGCCTTAAGTTAGGACATTTTTGATGTACTGGTGGTAATGTTGCTCTCTATGCTCCCCCCAAGTCATCAAGTGCCACACTCTTAGAGCTTTATCGTTTTAGGCTGCAGGTACAGAATTGCATGTTAGGGTGCTTCTTTATGTTGGAAATTAATGGAGTAGAAAGAAAGCTAGCCTGTCACCCTTCAGTCCTGTTTTTTCAAAAAAGGGAAGGGTTTTTCTTTAACACTGCAGGATGTAGCTCTCCCTCTGGCATTTGGAAGTGATAATGTCCCACAGGAGCTGTGCCTGATGAAGTAGCAGACAGGCTGTCCTTCCAACTTCCGTTGTGGGCCTTGGCTGGGACTGTGGATTTACATTCCTATCTTTTTGGTTAGCCTCTGAGTGGGCATGCAGTCTCTGAGCCACATTTTCTGTCATCAGTCATCATCTCCATGGGGCTGTATGAAGCGTGGCTGCTCTTGCAGTATCTGTGGCTGGGCATTCCTTAGTGTAACAAATGTGACATGCACACCAGTGCTGGTATTTCCAAACATCAAAATGAAAAAAATCAGTCCCTTGAGAATTTGGGAAATGTTCACAAATTAAAAATTGGATATACAAAGAGAAATTTTTGGATTTTATATTAGATGTTATTTTCTTACAAAATGAGAGGCGTCTTTAATAGCTCTAGACAAAACAGAAACATTCTTGCAAACATGTTTACAATGGTGTAGCAGAGCCAGGACCCATAGGGTTGGCGTACAGTCATGATCCACTTAACGATTACCCCATATAACGACGAATCCGCTTCACAACGATGTGCAATCGCAATTGTGATCGCAAAACGATGTTTTAAATGGGGTTTTTTCGCTTTGCGGAGATCGGTTCCCTGCTTCGGGAACCGATTCTTCGCATTACGACGATCAAAACAGCTGCCAGGTGCTCAAAATGGCTCCCTGCTGTGTTTTTGGACGGATTCCTTGCTCTACAGGCACCGAAAATGGCCACCCCTATGGAGGATCTTCGCTGGACAGTGAGTTTTTTAGCCCATTGGAACGCATTGAACAGTTTTCAATGCGTTTCAATGGGCTTTTTAATTTCGCTTTACGCCGTTTTCGCTCTACAGTGATTTCGCTGGAACGAATTAACATTAAGCGAGGCACCACTGTATTGGGGCATTTTAATTAGCAAGGACAGTCAAGTCAATTGCCCTTCACACTACCCTGTTCTTTCTTAATTTAGCTTCAATTTTAATAGTAACCAGTGAGGACAGGATGGATTTCCCCAACAATCTACAGTGGTGCCTCGCATAACGATTTTAATTGGTTCAAAAAAAAACGTTATGTGAAACATCGTTATGCGAAACACCATTTTCCATAGGAATGCATTGGAAACCGGTTAATCCGTTCCAATAGGCACGGATTGCCATCCTTAAGCGAAAAA